TGGCTCAGGACACCTTTGAATGCTGGAGAGTGTCAAGATTTTGTTCTCTGTTTCTATCATTTCTCCAGCATCAGTTACTGACCTGATTCAGTGATGGAGAGGCAGCTCAGTGGAGTTGGATTACTCCAGCAGAGCCATATTAACACCTCTGTTAGCACTGTCTGCTACGGGAGTAAGGGAACAAGGAAGCTCAAGAAGCACCGTCAAAACCACAGGGTAAATCGCAGAATCCCAGAATAATGAGGTTGGAAGAGACCTTTGAGATCAAGTCCAACCTATACTCTAACACCTCAACTAGACTATAGCACCAAGTGCCATGTCCAGTCTTTTTTTAAACACATCCAGAGATGGCGATTCTACCACCTCCCAGGAGAGACAATTCCAGTATTTTATTATTCTTTCAGTGAAAATTTTTTTCCTTATATCTAATGTATAGGTAGCCTAACGTAGCTTGAGACTGTGTACCCTTGTCCTGTGAGTTGTTGCCCGGTGGAAGAGACCGACCCCCACCTGCCTACAACCTCCCTTCAGGAAGTTGTAGAAAGCAATAAGGTCACCTCTACGCCTCCTCTTCTCCAGGCTAAACAACTCCAGTTCCTTCAAATGTTCCTCACTGGGTTTGTGTTCCAAGCCCCTCACCAGCCTTGTTGCCTCCTCTGGACGTGCTCAAGCACCTCAACGTCCTTCCCAAACTGAGGGCCCAGAACTGGACACAGCACTCAAGGTGTGGCCTCACCAGCGCCGAGTACAGCAGGAGAATGACCTCCCTGCTCCTGCTGGCCACACAATTCCTGACACAGGCCAGGATGTCCTTGGCCTTCTTGGCCACCAGGGCACACTGCTGTCTCCTATTCAACTGCTGTCAACCAGCACCCCCAGTCCCTTTGTGCCTGAACACTGTCCAGCCACACCGTCCCCAGCCTATAACGCTGCAGGGGTTATTGTGGCCAAACTGCAGGACTTGGCACTTAGACTTATTAAACTTCATGCTGTTGGACGCTGCTCATCATCCAACCAATCTAAGTGTCTCTGCAGAGCCCTCCTTCCTTCCAATAGAGCAACACAAGCTCCCAGCTCAGTGTCGTCGTCAAATTTACTAATTTAATTTACTAAAGGACTCAATCCCCTCATCCATGCCATCAATAAAGCCATTGAACAGAGCTGGTCCCAGCACAGAGCCCTGAGGGACACCACTGGTGGCTGGCCCCAGCTGGATGCAGCACCGCTCACCAGCACTTTCTGGGCCCGGCCATCCAGGCAGTTCTGAACCCAGCACTGAGTGCTCCTGTCCCAGCCGTGGGCTGCAGCTTCTCCACGAGTGTGCTGTGGGAGACAGTGCCAAAGTGCCTGCTGAAGTCTAAATAGACAACATGCACAGCCTTTCCTGCATCCACCAGGCAGGTCACTGGTCATAGAAGGAGACCAGGTTGGTCAGACATGACCTACCCTTTATAAACCCCTGCTGGCTGGGTCTGATACCCTGGCCATCCTGTAAGTGCTGTGTGATAGCACTCAGTATGAACTGTTCCATTATCTTACCTGGTACTGAGGTCAGGCTAACGGCCCTGTAATTACCAGGATCCTCCTTCCTACCATTTTTATAAACGGGTGTCACACTGGTCAGTTTCCAGTCATCTGGAATCTCGCCAGTGAGCCATGACTCTTGATAAATGATGGAGAGTGGCTTTGCAAGCTCATCTGCCAGCTCCCTCATCACCCTGGGATGGATCCCATCTGGTCCCATTGATTTATGAATATCCAAGCATCTCAGCAGTTCTCTGACTGCCTCTTCTTGGATAACAAGAGGACCATTCTGCTCCCTGGCACCACCTACCAACCCCTGAGGACAGTTGTCTTGAGGACAAGCTGTCTTACCACTAAAGACTGAGGCGAAGAAGGCATTTCCACCTTTTCCTCATCTTTAGTTACTAGGTTGCCTTGTTCCTTATTTATCCAATTAGGAACAGAGGTCAGTCATACCCTTCCTTTTACTCTTAATATATTTGTAAAAACTTTTTTTATCATTTTTAACAGAAGTTGCCAGGTTAAGTTCAAAATTTGGCCTCCTAAATTTTTTTTTCTACATGCCCCAGCAGTTCCCTTAAATACTCCCTGAGAAATTAGTCCCTCCTTAAAAAGATAATACATCTTTATTTTATTTCTAAGTTCTTTCAAAACCTCACTGCTCATCCAGACTGGACATTTGCCTCGTCGACTCATCTTTTGGCACATAGGGACAGTCTGTTCTTGTGCCCTCAAGATCTCTGCTTTGAAGCACACCTATCTCTCCTGGACTCCTGTGTTTTCAGGGGCTCTTTCCCAAGGAACTCTCTGAATAAGTCTCTTAAATAGGCCAAAGTCTGCCCTCCGGAAGTCCAACATAGAGATCTTACTGACATTCCTCCTTATTTCACCAATTATTGCGAATTCTATAATTTCATGATCACTGTGCCTCAAGTGGCCTCCAACCTCCACATCACCCACCAGTCCATCTCTATTTGTGAACAACAGGTATAACATAGTTCCCCCCCGGTGGGCTTGCCCACCAGTTGTGACAAAAGGTTATCCCCCACACACTCTAAAAACTTTCTAGATTGCTGTTTTTCTGCTGTATTAAGTTCCCAGCAGATGTCTGGTAGGTTGAAGTTGCCCACAAGAACAAGGGCTGATGATCTCGAAACACTGTTCAGTTGTTATAGAATAATCTGTCCACCTGGTATGGTTGGATGATAGCAGACTCCCAATAGGATGTCGGCCTTTTTGGCCTTCCACTTAATTCTAACCGATAGGGACTCCATTTCATCGTCATTAGTTTCAATACCTACGACATCCAAACCCCCCCTAATATAAAGGGCCACCCTTCCACCTATTCTCCCTTTTCTGTCTCTTCTGAAGAGCTTGTAGCCATCCAGTGCAGTGCTCCAACTATGTGAGTCATCCCACCATGTTTCTGTGACGGCAACTACTTCATGGTTCTGCTGTTGCACCATGGCCTCCATCTCTTCTTGTTTGTTACCCATTCTGCATGCATTGGTGTACATGCACCTCAGATGCGCTGCTGATTTCTCCCCTAACACAGTCTTACCATCCTTAGACCTGCTTCCAGACAGCCCAGATGCATACCCTTCCCCCTTCAGACCTAGTTTAAAGCCCTCTCAACAAGGTCTGCCAGCTCATGAGCTAAAAACCCACTGCCCTTAACAGAGAGATGTATACTGTCTGATTCCAGTAGAGCAGGTACTGTAAAAGTTGCCCCATGACCAAAGAATCCGAAATTTTGCTGATGACACCAATCCTTGAGCCACTTGTTAATGATGTGAGTTCTCCTATTTCTTTCATCATTTTTTTCCTGCCACCAAAGGGACTGAACAGAACACTACCTGTGCACCTGTCCTATCAACCACCTGACCCAGTAGCCTAAAGTCCCTTTTTATTGCCCTGACACTCCTCTTTTCAATCTCATCACTGCCAGCCGGGAGTATCAGCAGTGGTTAGTAGTCAGACGACTGAATCGGTCCAGGAAGTCTCTCAGTGATATTTCGTACTTGGGCCCCAGTGAGGCAGCAGACTTCCCTGTGGGATGGGGCCGGTTGACATACGGGGCCCTCTTTTCCACTCAGAAGGGAATCATCCATACAATTACCCTTCTTTTCTTCTTGATGTTAGAGGTGCCAATCTTTAAATAAGTCATAATTTGAAGGCTCACTGGGTGGACAATTATCTTCTAAATCATCTGGCGGCCTCCCTAGATCCAAGGCCTCATACCTATTCTGAAGTGTCACCTGGCTAGGAGATGTGGGGCAGGAGGGATTTTTGTTATTACCTCCCCGAGCAGGGACGCATTTCCACTCCCCTTCATCTACCAGGTGCCCCTCCTACTGCCTGAGAGTGAGAGGCATAGGAGTCCTCTGACTCTTGGTGAGCCTACCTTAAAGATGTAAGGAGGGCTGAAGTCCACCAGTCTATTTCCCTTTCACTATACCTGATACTCCTTAATCTTTCAACTTCCTCCCTAAGCTAGGCCACCAAAGAAAGAAGGTCCTTCACCTATTCACACTATAGGCAGGCCACCTCCACAGCACCCCTTGAAACCATGGATAAGCTCAAACACTCCAGGCAGGAATGGGTCAGTACAGACACATCCTTTTTGTAGGGCTCCACTTGGTCACATACACTTGAACTGACCACAGATTTTGTCCGGGTTGAAACTATTACTAGGAGAAAGCCTAAAGCCAAGCAACCAATAAAAACGCCTCACTTGACTAGCAAGAACCTGCAGCCCTGCCTGCTTGCCCTGCCTGCACGAACTGCTGAGACCCTGTTTGCCACGCTACCCAGACACTTCTTAAAATGAGTCATTCAGGAACGAAGGAAGCTCCACCTCCTGCTCCTGAATGGCTCACCAGTGCTGGAAATTACTGCGGATTACAATAATCCTTAGGAGAGCCTGAAACACAATATAGTAAGAAAGATTTATCTGCGGTAGTTTCAAATTAAGTAACATGGTATGATTAGTTTGAAAAAACCAAAAAAACAGAAGCAAGTCTGCAAAGGGCTTCATTATATGGTTGGGATGCAGTAGTTCCCACATGTGATTCAGAAAGGATGGCAAAGGCTAGGTGGGAGGCCTGTGAAAAATAATCACAGCATTTCTGAGAAGAAAGGTAATTCTGAGACTGGAGCAAAGATTGTTATTTAATCCTGTGAGGGAGCCAGGTGATAAGCACTAAACAGCACCTCAAGTGCTGTACAACTTAAGAGACATACGTAAGTGCAGAAGGTACAACTGATTGGACTCCTGAACAATGAGGCTTCTAAAGTGCAAGACTGCATGACTGCGCACCATCAGCCTTACTTTGCCACCACATTACAAGCCTTCCAGAAGCCACTATCTTTAAAACAGCTGCTTGATGATGCTTAGCTTCCTTCCCAGCAACCCACACCTCCTGAGTGCTGGTCCAAGGCCAGCTGGTGCCACACACCCCAGTGGGTGCACTCACCTTTAGCTTCTGACTCCGAGGAGGAGGTGATGTCCTCAGAGGTCAGGATTTGGGGGCGGCACATGGAAGTGCCAACCCCCTGTCCCAGGTAGGAAGCAGGTGGGTAGTAGGAACACATACGGTACTGGGAGCTGATGGGGTGGTGTTTCTCCATGCCCTTCACCTGTCAGAAGAGAGAAATGCAAGAGCAGCCTGTGAAAGCAAAGCCCCAGTGCCACAGGGGGCACCCTGCTATCCCTCCCTGCCACCCCGCTATCCCTCCCTGCCACCCCTCCATGGCTTTGAAGGAGGTCACAGTGGGTGCATGGGAACTAAAATTCTGACATGCTGGCCTTGGGTTTTTGATTTGATGGCTTCACAGTCTGCCCACATCGACCAGCTACAGGTGGTGTGATGTGAGATATGACCCAGCAGCAGCAGCAGCAGCACACCTATGCTGTTTTACCTTACTGCAGATGGAGATGTATCTGGCACACAAGCAAGTACCCTTCACTGCCAGCAGCTTCCTGCCAAGTCCCCAGCTTATGGCACATTCAAGTGTATACACCTGGCCAGTGTCCGAGGTGAAGTGTCCATACATCTTCTACACCTCCCCAAAGACCAATCCATCTCAGACTGCTGGCAACTGCTCTGCCAGGGACCTCCTGGGTGGCTAAGGAGGTCGACTTCTGTCGACCGAGTCTCACAGGATATGCTGCTCCATGGTGTTGAGCAGTGACACACCCAAACACAAGCACACTGTTTTTCTTACAATACCATAAGATGAGAAAAACATTTTCCTGAGTTACTGAAAAAAAAGCAAATTGTGTTTAGACTACACAAGAAGCTGGTTGTGAAGCTACAACTGGACACCAGCCAGCAGGTCTACAATGTCAGCACAACATCAACTGGATATCCCTTTTCCCTTCCACAGATTGCAGCGAAATGGCAACACTCACAAATCAAAGTCTATTCTACTCCAATGCCCTGATATAATCCAAATTGATCTCCTCAAAGGAGTGGTAACGCTTCCTCAAATTTGTGTTTTATTAAAAAAACTAACAAGTTACTATTATTTGCTACAAAGCCCTACAATGCAACATGGCCTCTGTGCTGCAAAAATGCTCCCAAAACAAAATTAACTGTCACAATGGGAAAAATAAGACTAGATGGTTTCTCTAAGTATGATGGGAAGAGAATGACTGAAAGATGGAAAGCTTTTGGGCAGAGACAAACTGTCACAGCTTTGTACCAGTTATGGTAGTAGCAGTGCCAGCAATAATTCACATCCAGCTATGCCATTACACAATGTCTGCAAGCAGACATGCCTGACAGCCTTTTCAGCTAGGTTCCACCTCCGCTCTGCCCGCTCCAGGACCCTTGGGTCCCTGGAGCCCCGCTCCTCAGCCCTTCCCAGGCTGCAAAGCCCATCAGAGCCAGGGAGCAGGGGAGGCTGGGCATGCACCTACAGTCCCACACAGCTGCCCCATGCCAGTACACCTACAGGGTCTGGTCCTGGCACCAGGAGCCACCAGCACCTCCCAGAACCACTCCACAATGCAGTCACCCTTTGTACTCCAAGGGGAATTCCCTGTAAGAATTCCATATTCATTTTTATATGCCTAGCTGCAAATACTGTGGCCCAAGCCACATAAAATCCTGTTGGTGCTTTCTGAGGCATATTTTCAGTGAGATTAGGTGCACAGAAAGAGAATGGTGGCTGTTCACAGGAAGCAAAGTGCACTTCTGCATGATTTCTGACAGCAGTATAGTTGCATATACTTGCACATGTACTGAGGGACTTGCTTTTAGCCTGTGAAAGGTAAGGGTTTTTCTCCTATAAATTAAAGCAATACTTAAAATTTTTGTTTTTCTATCTTCACATGCAGAAAAAGTTCTACATACACTGAAGTTTCATCCAGAGTAAATAGTAAATTGCTCTTCAAAAATTTAATGAGTCATCCTGAGGAAGTCTGAACTCAACCACTGACATTACTTCTCCTCTTCTGACAAAGGGCACTCTCCTTTTTGGAAACAAGACTCCCCCAACAAAACTTAGCCTCTGTGCAATATGAACTGCCCAAACGCACAGTCAAAAAGACATTTTGAATCTGCAAAGCTCAACAGCTCAGTACCAGGAAAAAAAAAAAGTTAGTCAACTGTTCTTTGTCTGCTGTGTTGCATATAGTTTTCCTTCCCTTGGTGGGGCAGGGCAGCATCCACAGACCTCACATCTCCACTTCTCCCTTGTGCAAGGCCACGTGTGCACACGTACAAGCAAGAAAAGGCTGCCTGCAGGAGACAGATTATTTCAGCTGTAGCAAAATGGAGGGATCACTCCCCAGCACAAACTCCATCATGTGCACATTTCCCCTCCTGTAGAGTGGATGCAGTGATCCACCTCCCCCATTCAACACTTTTTCTAGGGGTTTTCTCCATTTCTTAAAAAAACAACTCACCTAAAATCCCTAGATGCAATGAATTATTACTACTATTATTATTAGTGTGTGGTAGCTGGCTAGCAAGAGACATGTTTTATAATCTTATTACCCACACCAAGTCTATGAACCACAGTTCAACTGACAGCCAGAGGCTTGGCTCAGCAAAGAATATGCTGTGTATTAACCACTGAAGAAAATCCGAAAGCTTTTGGCTTTCTTTTATTAAACTATTTAGAATCTATACCACAGTAAATCTGAACCATAAGGTTTCCTTTTTATAGTGCTTAGCAATCCTATTTTACAGTAACAATAAAAAGCCAACCAGTTGTAAAAATTCTTGACCTTAGCACTGCATTAAAAAGGGAGCTTAGGAGACCACTACCTCATGAGAAGGAACATTTGGTCTGTACTAACTCCTGCAGCTCTGTGGAATCTTTGAAATCTTTTGGGTGCCAAAAAAGGAGATCAAGACAGCCCTGGGGAGGATTGTGAATATTCAGATTATTTTCAACCTGGGCTAGTTCAGCTTTCTAAATGCTACAGTCAGGTACCAGGTTTGGGATCCTGCACTAGGTCTGTCAGGGTGAATGCTGGGGTCATGCATGGATCACACGAGGAGAATGCCTGGCCTTCTGGTGTCTCCTGCCTCCCTTACCCCTTCCACCCCTACAACAAAGCTGAGACAGGCATGAGCTGGAACAGTCCCACAAACTACTCTGGTTTGTATCACTGCACGCTACTTACCAAAAGAACAAGGCATATTTTAGGTGAGCAAGTGCTGTGGAAGGCAAAAGCATGCATTAGTCTTTGCAGAAGGCATTCTGAGCTGCTAAGTTGCTTCTCTTCCAGCCACAGAGTGCTTGTGCTCTGCTCCAGCTGCAGGATACACCAAGTACCTCAGAGACTTTAGTGGGAGACACATATCATCAGAGCAGCAGTTGGCCTATGCAACGTTTACAAGTTCCCCTAAATTGTACAACACAGCACACACTCAGTAATGTTTTAAAAGATGTATTCCAAGCAATGCTGAGATGCTTACAATTCATTAACAAATAAATATGGCCTGATTGGAAGGCCATGACTGCATTGGAAATTTTTTCCCTGTGTATTGAAAAGCCACTGTGAGGAACTGAGAGGCAGCTACAGTTTGCCCTTGCACAGTAAGTCAGAAACAGGACTTGTTCATCAATGAGCAAAACGGTCAGGGCAGCCCTACAGCTACGTCCAGCAGTGACAGCATATATAGTAAAATCCAGGGAAAATATGAGGAAAATGCTCTTGCATCAGACCATTCCTGTAAAAAGCCTTTCTCAACAGCTGGTGGAAGAGCACATAAAGCCCAGTGCCTCTTCCCAAGCTTCTGGTAGCATCTGCATAACCTCTACATACCTTCTTCATGGAAAAATAGCTGAGGAGAGAAGGTGGCCAAACCAGAAACAGGAAGGCATCAAAGCAAGCACCAAGGGGTGACTCACCTCTCTAGTCTCAGAGGTTAGAGAATGATTCTGCCCTTCACAGATACTTGTTTAGCCAAAACACCACCTATGTAATTCTTTTCTTTGCAGAAGTTGCCAGACACAATCTCTTTGTGAGCCCGCCAGTGTTATCTTCACACTTTGCAGCTGATCCTAACTATGGGCTTTTTTCCAAGAAAGACAAACAGGAGGTCATGGATGCTATTCCTGAGTGACAAGAGCTGCAAAAATTTATAAGCAACACAGGAGATCAAAGTGCAATCCTTCAGCTCTGCCACTGGTGTGCCACATGAACTTGGCCAAATCACTTCACCCAGGATTCCATCCTTTTATTACACCCATGACTCAGCAACAAACTTAGCAAACTCAGTAATTACAGAAACACCTGAGAAACTTGAAAGTTTAACATAGGCTCCTCAATTTTAGTGGGCATAAACTTGAATTTGTGTCATTGCTTGCAAACAACAGAATTCACAGGTTGTTTTCTGGCATGGGGAAGAAGGCAGCCATTGGGCAATGAAATGGAAATTGAGGCATCAGTAATCTCCTCTCTGTCATCTGTGAGCTGTGTGACTGTGGCAAGTTATTTAACACTTACCTGCCTCAGTTTCTGCAGTTATAAAACAGGTTTGCTGCTACTCTCCTACCTTGCAATGTTACTGCTCATGTGCTGACCCCGCACAACTACTGTTGTACTCATACTGCCCAAGGTGTTTCATTCCTAAAACCAGCTAAGCATGTTTTCCAGAAAAAAAGAAAAAATGAGTCTATGATACCCTGCCTTGACTTACTTTGATCCTAGCACAGAAAATACAAGACACATCTATATCTGTCTCTCCTTGATAGACAAACTTAATTAACCTTTGCTATTCTGTTCCAACCTATTCTTTTAGACAAAGGCAGTGACCCATAAACAATATGTTACCATCAGAATCTCAACTGCAGTGACACCTAGAGATATAGCCCTATCAGCAGTATTGGAAAATAAACCACTTAGATTAGCTCCTCCAAGAAATATGGATTGCATTCATGTCACACATGAGCTGTCAGAAACATTACGATACTTTTAGCATAAATCTGTAGTGTGAAGGGTATGTTATGAATACAGTATATAATTCACTGCTTACACATAAAATTGCGACTGTCTTGGGTGACTTGCACAATGTGTATACATTTACACACACATGCACACACTTTACACTGACTTCTGAAGAATAAGACTGCAACTTTTGTACGAGAGACTGGCTTTTTGGAGGAAAAACTGGGCCAGAAAGCAGGAGCAGGTGGAAAAAGTTGAAAAGAGAAATCTTTTTTTTACCAGCAAGTGGCTATTCTTCAACCTCCTAGCTGTCCTGTCAGAGCCACATTCCTCTGGATTTAGTAAAAGAGAATTTTTCCAAGTTTGGTACTTCTAAGAAATCCTTAAAAAACAGTTTCCTACATCAGCAATACTAAATACTTAACAGATGGTAAATGTAAATCCCACATTATAAAGTAAGTAAAAATGTCCTGGTTTCTTACAAATTATTTTTGCTCTAAACTGGTGGAAAGAACAAAAAAGTTGAGGCTCTGAAAGAGAGGAGAGTGGAGGTGAGGGGAGGGAAGGGAAAGGGAAGTTCTGAAATGTGTCCAAAACATCCAAAACAGCCTTAACCTTTCCCAGGAGCAGGATCCCTGGAGTTACCAGAGCACCAAGGAAAAAGCAGCCACTGGTCCTGAGGTGTGGGGGCACATTCTGCATATCTTGCCAATTTTAATGGTTTAGCTGAATGAACCAGAAATTTTAACATTTTTGGGGGATAATGCTGACTCACATTGAGTCCAGATTAGACTTGTGCTGTGGACCACATGCCAGCAGTTTGTCAGCTTTGAAAATCAAGTCTGATTAGATTCAGACATGTCCAGCAAGGCTTTACTTTTGCTTTGACAGAAAGGCTGCAATCACCCCATTTTCTCCTTGCTGCTTCTAGAGAGTTACAAGCAACTTGGCACACTGTTATAGCATAAAAAGTAGTAGGGGAGTGCAAAGTTAGGTAGACCCCAGCCAACTTGAAGTGAGACCAGTTTCAGAAGCACCAACTTTCAAGTACACCAACCTATTCTAACATGAAGTATGTTGGCAAACTGACTTTATTGTTAATTGGATGGAATGCACAAAAATTCCCATTGTAATAAGGAATTTCAAGAGCTTCAAGGGAGACTCCAGATGCCCACACAGGATTGGAGGGAAAGGAGAGGTACAGTAACCATTAAATCTGCTACATTTCCTACCAACCTAGGCTTGTTTCTTCCCCAGGTGCAACACCAGACATACATGATTATCTGCCTTAGAGCTGGAAGGAGCAGCAGAATATAAATGACCAAAGAAGCCTCAACAAAATAATAATCTTCATGATGCTTATCAAATCATGATGGATACAACTTCTGGTGTGACTGTATATAGATGAGGAAAACCTACAGAGAAATACATAAAATATTTGCACCTTTATGAATCCACTCGAGCATGCCAGCTTCTGCAAAGAACAAAGACTAATGAAATCTGACATTAATCTACATTAAAGATTCAGTGATTCAGTTTATTTGCCAATGCTCAATGATGCATTAATCCTCATCTCATCCCACACACACTCACATGTTTCCTCCCTGGCTATTCTCTCTTGCTCCCTAAATTCTGAAACAGCAGACAGCTGGGCTGCTCAAGGCCTTGTCTGTGTCCAGAAGTTAAATATGCAATTCTCCCTGTGTGGTTGAAGTAAATGTAGGATCTGTGAGCCTTCACCAAGTAAGCCTGGAAAAGCCAGGTGTCTTGTCTACCCATCTTAAACTAGAATACCTACCAGTGAGCACAGTGGTGACTTCTACCATAAAAGAAACTCTCCTGTGAGCTCACACCTTAGCAAGCGGCCCTAATTTGGTTACAGCAGGCACTGCCCAGCTATGATTCTGGCAAAGAAACAAAGACCAAAAACTTTGATCAAAACAGTTAACAGCAATACGCGTTAGAAAAGAAGATGCACTTCTACTGGAGTCTGGTTTAAGAAATGTACATGTGAAAAATAAATTCAGTCAGTACAAGCAGCCCAGCAGAAGTCCCTGTGTAGGTAACAGCTACATGTTTCCTCTGAGGAGGATAAGCATGCACAGGTTTGCCAGCAAAACCTCCTGAGTGTAAGCAAGGTCTGATTCCTCTTTGAGGATCATGCTTCAAATGAAACTCTCCTGTAATTCCTTACTGTGCTCGACAGAAAAGCTCATTAGTTATTCATCCTCCATTTATTGTTATTTCTGTGATCTTCCCTTGCTGGTAACCCATGTGTGCAGAATCAATGTACAACCACGTGCAGCAAGCTCCTTTTATCCCATACAATAAACCATCTTCAGTGCCACACAGGGTTTTACAACCTCAGGATCACTGCACCCACTGCCATCTGATGTCTTCTAGCCTCTCACTAAAACTTTTCATGATTATTTGTGCAATCTTCCGCTGTTGTAAGAGTACGCAAACCCTATGACTCAGAACTCTTCCAGCAATAACTATCCTTCTTGCAGATCAGTCTGAGAAAACAGCTTGTAAGTTACAAAACACTGACCTTGAACTACACCCTGCCCTGCTGAAGAGGAGAAGTTGACCTGGTTTCAAGACATTTAGAAGCTGGGCAAATTCTGCAGGCAAAAAGCAGCACATTTATTCTCTCTGCTTGGACATCCAAACAAAACACCACAGAGAGATCCAAAAGGTCTGCTCTGGAGAAATTAAAATCTTAGATGTGGTAGGTAATTAAATTCACAGAAATTAAAATCTTAGATGTGTTATATAATTAAATTCCCATAAAGGTGAATAGAATAATGTGGTATATCCCACAAGAGACATCCACAGCTTTGAGCCTGCTGGTGGAAGGAAAACTCACCTTTTGGACAAAAACCATGACATTTTTTCCTTACTTATCTCTTCAAGATCTCACTAATTTGAATGTCACTTAAGCAGAAGTTAGTTTCTGCAGGGACTGAAGAGAAGAATTACGGAAACCAGAGAGTTGTTTTTATTTCTTTAAGGGATGTCAAAGGTTCCACAAGCAACAGGAGATCTCACAAGTGAGACACGTACTCTCGAAGCCAAGACTTTCTGTATAAATTACAGTACATGGACATCACATCTTCATTCCAAGATTTAACATGTTTAAACACACTATGTGCTAGGTGAAGCGTGGGTCTAGCAGCCTGCAAGAACATTATTTTCACAAGCCCAATGTTGCCACCCTTCGTTTGTGTTGCAGTGGTGTCTCCATGTATCAGGAAGCTAAATGCTGCAGATGCCGGAGAAGTAACCTTCTATCTGAAATACTCTGCTATACCAGGCTAACCCAATCAACCAAAACTAAAAGAGTTGAAAAAGCCCCTCACCCCATCACCATGCACAAAATCCTGTAACTCGCCTTGACTAATTTTCCTCTTGGCCTGGTGATTGAATTCATCAGCTGGACAGGATGCCATCAACTGGAAAGGTATACCTTCATGAACCACACACTGAGAGAAGGAAGCTCTCATGGCATGCTTGCGCCACAGAAGGAAGGGAGATAGCTTTTTATCCCATACAGCAATACTCAAGGCAGAAAAAGGGATGTGGAATAGTGATAAATGCTACAGTAACTGTAATCGCCCTGGCATTAGTTTCAGCTCCTCGGTATCAAAAACTAAAACACCCTTTCAGAGTTGGTCCCTGTGCCAGAGACCTGGCTAGAGAAACTCCCTGTCAGCAAACAGGATGACCTATCTGTTCACTTACACAAGGAGGTTTTGGTGGACATTTCATTGTTGAGTGGTTTCACAACACAGCCGTTGCAGAAGCAGCCTGCCCTGTCTTGATGCTCAACAGAAGGAGTCTGCCCTCTCCTGTCCTTACACAAGGGACACAGGCATATACAGATGCAGTGGGTACAGCCTTACCAGTTCAATCTCATACAGAAAAAGCATCTCTCCAAAAGCAGAAAGTCCCAGAGTCACTGAAATGTCTCCACTTCACCAAGAATTCCCCATCTTGGCAGATTGTCCCTTTTTCCAGTTTCTGACTGGTAATGAGTTGGAGGGTACAGTTATCAAGCCCTAGAGTGAGAGGGCTTGATTTGCTTTATATCCTAATCAAGTACACAGAGCTCTGGTCTGAACCTCTCAGGTACTGTCTGTAATCTGAACTACAGGAGTAAAAATCACAAGCTCTGGAGCTGCAATTGCCACAACACACAACTAAGTATATGCCACGTCACGTTCAACTGACTGCAACCAAACTGCTGCACAACAGCATGGTCTCCCAGGTCACCTCAGCACCTTGGATGTGAAACACGGAAAAAGACCAGGCTTCTGAAGAGCAAAGCCTCCCAGAAATTACACCTTAGGCTCTCAGGATGTTATATTGAGCAACTGAGCTGGACTCTTTTTTCTGGAAAACAGTTCATAATCTACTGTCACAGAATACAGAAGATAAAATCAAGTTAGCTTTGCGCTTGTGGCAATTTATCCATACCATTATCACTGTCCAACTATGTAATTACTTTTGTTATACTGCATTGCAACCACCCATTTTGTCTAACTTCCTTAAAATGGGTCCTGGCCGTTTGCACTGCCATGAAACCAGCAAAGAGGAGATCATACCTGCCACTGTTTTCCTGAATGGCTCGGCATGTATGTTGTTGGGAGACTGCGACGGCTGTTCTTCATGGCAGACCCTACAACTGTACCCCCTGTCTCACTTGAGGAAGGCTCGCCAGCCACTGCCATCTGGTACTGGGAGTAGTTGCACAGGTTGCTGTAACAAGGGTACAGAGGCGGCTGGTAGAAACTGCTGTAGTAGGCGGAGTCCACAACCAGCTCAGACGTGCTCTCCACGTGCCCTCTGCTGGGGAGGGAAGAGATGTCCTGAATGAGCATCCCTCCCTCTGGAAAAGAAAAAAAAAACACCATTATCTTTCACATTCTAATGAGCTACTACTCCTACCAAAGGCAGGACAGAGTGTTAAATAAGAAGTAGGAGCTGAAAGCTAAACACGGCTGAGAGTTTAGTGGAAACTCAAATGGACTAACAACTACTCACAGTCCAAGACTGTCACCTACACACACCACAGACTGCAAAACAGCAGACAAAACCAACGGCAGGTTGGTTGGAGACTGCCTAATTTTGCAGTCCCCTACTACTTTTTATCCTGTAACAGTGTGCCAAGTCTCTTGTAACTCTCTAGAAGCAGGAAGGATCTAGCTACAGAATGACTCCTCCCAGCCAGTGTCCTGAAGGTGAGAGGACAACTTCTGAACAGGCCTCTAGGAAGGGCGAACAGCCACAAGACAAGAGAAGCTGCAGTGGGATACCATAGGAACAGCCAAGGTGTCCCAGAAACCCACACGCTACCTAAGCTCCTCAATCCTTGCTGAGCCTTACCCAAATTTAGCTCCCATACCTAGAGAATCACAGAGCAGAAGATCCCCCACCACTAGCAAAAGAGAAGGAGAAAGGTACTGCTTGTGACTTGCAGCACCCACTCTGGACTGCCTCCAGATCACGGGTTAGCTGGCTGCACTCCCCACAAGCAAGCTCTGCCTCTCTGTTATTCCCTAAGATGGGGATGCTTCTCAGACAATGAGAAGCCATGATTTCCCACTCCACTGTCAACCAAGGCCTTGCAATATCTGCGAGCATTAAAAAGAGAAGATGCTTGTTGGTACTATTGCACTCTCAAGCTCTCTCTCATATGTGGCATCAGTTACACTGCCAAGCCAGACACAACAAACAACTGCCACAATCTTATATATACATTTACAAGGGAAAAACTCAAACATCCAAATCTCTCCGTATCTGTAGCTCTGGCTTTAGTTTGTATGTCTGTGATCCTGCCTTGTACCAGTTCACTGTAAGGAGTTCCACTTCTCCCCATGATGCTATCCAACTGTTCTGTAGAGAAGAAAACAATGTGGCTTAAAGCCTATGGGATGAGCTCCCAAGAGCTACTGGTATGGACATGAAGCAGCATGGGCAACAGGCACATAGGAAATAACAGCCCTAAGAGACATTTCAGGCAGGTCTAGTTTGCTCTGGATCTTTCTCTTGGAGTACCTGCATCTTGGTTACTTACCTGTGGAAGGAATATGGTGGCATACCAGCCTCTCTGAGCCATGATAACAACATCCACAGTCCTGTGCATTAGCTGCATTTTACATCAAATCATTAGTTTTACCCATTACTGCTATTTACAATGCAATTGTGTTTCACTTCTTCAGCTATAATGAAAGCTTTCTGCAATCATGGATCATCTCCTTCCAGGTCACTAAATTACACAGTGCCCCATTCAGTTCTTGTTGCCATTCTGTTGACATAAGTGAACTATTTATTAGCAAAGACTGTTTTATGCCCCCTGCTCCTGATTTTTGTGCAGAACCATGTCAGCTGGCCTTGTTTATCTGGAGTATTTCTCAAATTTGCACAAAGAACAGAAGTGCCTGCAATGCCACAGAAGACTTTTTAGAGCTTCTGCACTTTCATTTTTATAATTTTTTAAATTATTATTCTGCTTCTGGGCAAGACTCTTAGATCCTTTTGCCTGCATCTGATAAAATCAGAACTTAGACCACAGACACAGCACAAGCTTGACTCCCCTCCCTAAATTTACCTCTCAAATAAAGCTGCATTCCAATTGTTCTGCTTTAAATGTTGCAAAATAGAAGCCGAAAGTAAAATCCTCCAACACATTCCTTGCTGGGATACAGATTTCACATGACAGAGACATGCAAGGCAGTCACCTGCTGAACTTCTCACAAGGCTGTATTATGCTGCACAAATGCCTGATTTCTTCTAGAATCTCTGTAGTGTCTTTCAATTTATAGTGCATCATTAGAAGGGTGACTACTCCCCATTAAAAATACTAGCACCAGGAAGATGAGGTCTCTCTACACCTACATGATCTGGATGAGGGGATCAAGATTATCCTCAGTCAATTCACAGACAACACTAAATCAGGCAGGAGTGCTGATCTGCTGGAGGGCAGGAAGGCTCTGCAGAGGGATCTGCACAGGCTGGATCATGGCCAAGGCCAGTGGTGTGAGGTACAACAAGGCCAGGGCTGGTCCTGCCCTTGGGTCACAGCAACCCCAGGCAGTGCCACAGGCTGGGGCAGAGTGGCTGCAGAGCTGCCCACAGGAAAAGGCCCTGGGGGTGCTGGTGACAGCAGCTGAGCATGAGCCAGCAGTGCCCAGGGGGCCAAGAGGGCCAATGGCACCTGGCCTGTGCCAGCAACAGCGTGGCCAGCAGGAGCAGGGCAGGGATTGTCCCCTGTACTCAGCACTGGTGAGGCCACACCTTGAGCACTGTATTCAGCTGGGCCCCTCACTCCAAGAAAGACACTGAGGTGCTGGAGCATGTCCAGAGAAAGGCAATGGAGCAGGGGAAGGTTCTGGAACACCTGTCCTACTGGAGCTGTTTAGGCTGGAGTAAAGGAGGCTCAGGGGGACCATATCACTCTCTGCAACCGCCTGGAAGTAGGCTGTAGCCACATGGGGTTTGGACTCTTCTCCCAGGTACAAAGTGGCAGAATGACAGGGGACAGCCCCAAGCTGTGCCAATGAAGGTTCATGCTGGACATCAGAAAGAACTTTACGGAAAGGGTTGTTAAGCACTGGGATGGGCTGCCCAGGGAGGTGGTAGAATCACCATTCCCGGAGGGTGTCAAGGAATGACTGGATGTGACACTAAGTGCTATGGTCACGTTGACAAGGTGGTGATGGGTTGAAGGCTGGACTTGATCTTAACAAGTCTTTTCCAATCTGTATGATTCTGTGGTTCTGATTCTCTGATACACAGGAGAGATCAGTCACACTGGGTGCCAGTAGCTAAAAGGAAGAAGGGGAGAAAGTAACACATTTTATTGTAACTTTTGGAAAGGTCTTATGCACTACACTTCCTAACATGAGACAAGATGGGCTAGGCTAGAACAGAAACCTACCTATAGCCATCCACCAAATCACAACCATTCCTGACATTCCTGATGCTTCTGTGACATTCCAGCAGCTGTTAGTGCTACAGCTCCCTTCTGAAGAGCAGCACTGGCATTAAGAAGGAGAAAAAAAAGAAGCTTTTTCATCCTTCTTTTCTATCTTCTATCTGTGGTTTGGGCTACCATCATTTGGCACCAGTGGTGCAGAAGTTTTGACTTTTCCAACATTTTCCTTTATGTAATTGCACAACACCCACCAGTAGTTCAGAGTTCAGGGCTGTTACAAACCCACCAGAAGTGCTCTCTGCTTTCTTTCAGCTGTCGGTCTATGCTCCAAGTCTTTACACTACCATCAGCTGCTGTCTCCAAAGTTGCACTGCAGAGCTGGCTCATTCAGCCACTCAGGCACCCACACATTCAGCTCCTTGAAGAACTAGGGCTCAGAGGAAATACAGCCAGAAGAGTTAGTTTTCCCTAAATCCCACGAGACACCATGCTTCTGAATGTGGAAGGACAAATGTCCGGTGATCAACATCTGTAACTATCTAGCTGGGGTTCCTCTGGTTGGTCCTTGGACCATACCTGTAGGCGTAGACTCCTATCTGGTGGCTGAACCTTCCTACAGCCATGCCTCCATCAACTCAACCAGGTAAGTGCTGTCCCCAAAGGAGGCTGTCAGCCTGTGACTGTCTTCTGCCAGCAAGTAGAGAACACCAAGGTTAAGAAATCAGCTTTCAGCTGATTTATTTCTTCCAAGTTCAACACAGCTGAATGTTTCTCCTGGCAAGAAGAGGGTCCTCCCCTGCCTTAGAACTTGCAACATTACAACACCTGCGTATCAGGGTACCATTTTTGAAATGAATTATGCTCTCAAGAAGATAACCTCTGCTGCATTGTTAAGCTTCCACTCTGCCCCTCTACCTGTGCTTCAAAATATGAGATCTGCTGCAGGATCTGGGCTTATGCCTTGGCTCTCCATATGGAAAAAGTAGGAAGGGCTCCTGGGCCTTTCCCTTGCTATTACACACAAATTCAGTATTTTAGAAGTTGCAAGTACAACATGATCAAAAATGGGACTGAGCCTGTTACAAGGAGGTACAAAAATTAGAATAACAGTAACAAAAAACCAAAGCAGTTTAAATTCTCACTCATTTTGGAACACCAAGTCTACTATGTAGGGCCACCACAGGCTCTCCATCCATGAGCAACCTTTTTGCAGCAAAGACAACAGTACCTCTTCATGCAGCTGCGTCCTTGGATCTCTAAGTTCTTCTCTATGTCTTTACTAAGTCCCGTAGAGAACTGATGCTACTTTTTTTGCACTATGTACACAGTGTGAAATATGGCCCACTCTTTCATAGAAGATCAATATGATGCACAATAAATACTGGTATTGATCTTTCAGTGTCGTAGACGACTCTCTGACTCTATGGCATATTAATAGTAGTTAACCAGTAATTCATTTCAGGGTGGCTGGTATTTTCTTTTAAAGAAGGTGAGTACTAGGGGTCAGTTACACATATATGTCTTTTACATTCAGTAACCTATGATGGGCTCCTGCCTTTGCTTAGCAGAGCACAGTAAAAAACACTGGTCTGGTCCTTAGGTAATGTAAACCAGTCTCAGACCATTTACTTCAATAAAGCTATGGTGATTTACACAAATTACGGATATGCATGGCAAAATCAACGCAAAGGCCAGTCTATAGATCATCAGGGAGAAGAAAGGAGAAAGGCCAGGTAATTTACAGGCATTTCCATCATCATCTCTTTTTCACAGATACAAATGTGTTTTTAAGGTTATATACTGAGAAGTAAAACCACTGAAATTGGAAGGCTGCATAAAAGCATGGAGTATTTTCTATTCCTACTGGTAATGTTAAGGGCCAGTTTTATATCTTATTATGTGCTGGCAATGGTAATTTAAGTATGTGTGGGTAAGCCTTTGGTAAGAGGTCA